AAATTGTTGCACATTTTGAACATAATTAAAAAAATTATTGTTACTTTAAAGTTTTTATTAAAATTATTACTTGTGAGTACAATTGTAAAAGTTTTTTCAGATTTTTCAGCAAAATTTTGCATTAATTAAATTTTTAATTATTAAAATAATACAGTCATTGCATTTAATTAATTTCTAACTTTTCTGATTGCTTCATTTCAATTTTTTTACTAAATTTTTTTATTCTCTTGCAGCTTTCTCAACAACTGTTGCTGCACATTTTCAGCAATCTAATTTATAAAATTATTAAGATTGAACAATCTGTCAGCAGTTACATCATCAGCAGTTTATTCATGTTGATGAACAAGTTTTTTAACTGTGTTGTCAGCATTTTCAGTTAATTTTTTTTATTATCTGAATTGATTGCTTCAATCTTCTCATTAATAAATTTAATTTCTTTCAACTTTGTTTTTTTTATATATAAATCAGTAAAAGCTGTCATTATAATTGTCAGAGCAGAAAATGTTTTTGCAGCTGCAATAAATTGCTGATGAGTCAAAATCAAAATCTAAAAAAATATTTATTGTGTGAATGTTAGAAACACTGCAATCATCATGATGAAGATTATGCAATTGTATATATGCATGATGATTTATTTTTTCAGATTTTTTTTTTTTTCTTTTTCATTGATATTTTTCATCACAAAAGTTTTTTTTTTTTTTGTCTTCATAATTTTGTGACATGTAGTTTATTTTACAATTTTCAAGTCAGCTGCTGATTGTATTTGATTTTCAACAAAACTGATATGATATTTATTTGACTGAAATGAGTACTGTGTTGTTATGTTATTAATATAACATTTCACACAAGCATTTTCAAAACAATTGACAATCATTATGCAGTTTGCAAATAATTTGTAATTATTTTTGCATCACTGATATAACTTTTTCTGCAGTTCATCACAAAATTGTATCAGCACAGTTTTGTGATTTTTTGATTGAATTAAATTTATTATTTTTACATTTTCACAAAAAACAAAATTTTTTGTGAATGCAACTGCAGTCAGATACTGCATGATTTTGATTAACTTCTTGAGCAATTGCTTTGCTGTCACAACAAGCTTCAATTTTTTTTCAATTATTTTTATAAAATTGTAATTATAATTGTAAAATACTTGCAATAAAATAAGAAAAATTTCTGTAAGTTGTTTGATTTTTTACAAACTACAATTTTATAATTTTATAATTCATATATAAAAATTTTTCAGTGTAATAATACAATACTTAATAAAGCTTTACAGTCATTCAGCATAAAAATTCAATAATAAATTTTGTATATTAAAATCATAATAACTATTTTCTGAGTAATTTTGCAATCTTTAACTAAAATTTGAACACTTCAAGTGATTGTAAAAAAGTGTTGACTGTAAGCTAAATTTCTGTTATACTCAATATTACTCATTTCATTTTTACATTAAATTTTTATAAATTCAGACAACAGTTGATCAATTATTGTTTCAGAAAAACAATTGTTTCATGATAAAAAAATATTAATTAAAGAATCTCACAAGATGCTCTCAATTATGTATATATATACACTTGAACATTAATTTTTCACTTCACTAATTATTGCTAAATGCATACACAATTTAATACTAAACTAAAATCACTGCAGTTGAAAATAGCTACTTCATGCATATTACTCAGATGCATGACATTAAACATGATAAACTGATATCTTCAATTGTCAAAATTTAAAAAGCAAATTACAAACACTTTTCTATCTGATGAATAACTGTAATAATTAATTTTAATTTTTTTAAGATATTTTTTGTATTTTGACAGAAAAATTCCAAAAAATCAATATGAAATGTATAAAATCATGATTTTGTTGATTTTTTTTTAATTTTTTTGCTTTCATCTGCTGCTAACACTTTCAGATATTAAAATTGTTTCTTCAAATCATTCAGATATAATGTTGTATTCTTAAAAATGATTTTTGAAAAATTTTTCTGCTTGAAAAAAAAATTACACAGTTTGAACAAACATATCATTTAATGTTTTTTTTATTAAATTGTAAAATGTCACAATTTATTTTTTCATCATTTTTTCTAATTTTTTATTTAGTTTCTGATGATGCAGTAATATTATTTTTTTCTTTCTGAATAAAATAATTCTCAGATTGAGATGAAAAAAATAATGTTATATTTTTAAAATTTTTCAAAACACATATTTATTTCTTTTTGCTCTTCTTCTCAATTTCTTGTACAAAAAATTAAAAAAATTAACAAATTTTTTGTTTTGCTGCTGAAAACACTTTTAACAAAGCAAATTGTAAATTCAAAATGTTTTTGAATATTATAAAAAAATCAGCATGAAAGTAATGTATGAAAAATTAAAAAATTGAATATTAACTGCAGATGTAATTATTTTTACTTTAAACATTTTTGTAATATTTTTTTCTCATGTCAATTGATAATTGCAAGCAGCAATCAAACAATGAGAGTTAATCTCAATATTAAATATACAACAAGATATTCAACTGACAGTTGCAAGCATTCATCAAATTGTGCAAGTCAATATTAATAACAAATATATAATAAAATATCATAAAATCAAAATGAAGATTTATGAATCAAAACTGCATTTTCAAAAACATTAAATAAATTACTTTCAAATTTTAAAACATTGCTTATTCTGTATGAAAAAAAAGCAAGTAATCATAAAAAGTAGTTGTCAGTTAGCTGCAAGAAGTCATAAAATTTAATATCAGTAAGTAAATCATATAAATTTATTTAAAAAATAAAAAAAATCATATCATCATGATTGCATCTTTATCAGTAGAAGAAAAAGCAAAAAAAATTACATTATTGTGTTTTTTTTCTTAACTGAAGAAAAAACAAACAAAATTACATTACTGTATTTTTTTTTTTAGTTAAAGAAAAAGCAAATAAAATCACAACATGAATGTGTTCATCCTTCAGCAGTGAAAGAAAAAGCAAAAAAAATCACATGATTATGTTGCTTTCATCAACAGCAGAAGAAAAAGCAAAGAAAATCACATGATTGTGTTGCCTTCATCAGCAGCAGAAGAAAAAAAAGCAAAGAAAATCACATGATTGTGTTGTCTTCATCAGCAGCAGAAGAAAAAGCAAAAAAAATCATGTGATTGTGTCTCTCTTATCAGCAGTAAAAGAAAAAGCAAAAAAAGTCAGATGACTGCAACAAATTCTCAAAATCTGCCAAATTTCTTCTGACAGCACACCTGTCTCCTGCACATGATCAGGATGATCCTAGACCCTTTCTCTCACTTTGTTTGTTTCAGGGCATGGCTGATTATGTAACCATGTTTAATATCTTGGCATTATTACTAAGCAGAATTCGGTCCCAAAATTTTGATCCGAAGATTCATTTTCCAGTATCACAGGTAGTTGAGCATCGTCGTGGTAATAGCCGCTCAATCAACTCAGATTCCGTTCAATTTCGGGAGCTGAGCGGAGCCGACTAGACTGCTTGGTATCCGTACTGTCTTCTCTAGACTTAAGATGGTGTGCTCCCACTGCTTTTGTCCAGGTTCGTGAAGAAATTACTCTCAAGTCCTAACAATCTTTCTTGTAGGCGCACCGCATTATATCACAGATCGTCGTTACCGGAACGCGAGCCCTCGGCCGCGCATTCGCCGAAGCCTACAGACAAGCCTCCGCCTCCTCCCGATACGCCGCCCACGCACAACAAAAGAGCGGCTCCTCGATGTCCAACACCTTCGCCTCCTCGGGCCTCACGCTCGAAGAAGCCTGCAAGATCCTCAACGTCAAACCGCCCAGGGCCGGAGAGGCAAACCTGGAGCAGACCATGGAGCGATTCAAGAAACTTTTCGACTTGAACGATCCGAAAAAGGGCGGCAGTTTTTACCTACAGAGCAAGATTCTGCGTGCGCGGGAGCGGATTGAGATGGAGGTGAGGGAGGCGGAGCGGAAAGGGAAAATGGAGAAGGAAGCGCGAGAGGGGTGGAATCCGAAGGTGTACAAGGATCGATGATCAGGCGCTTTCGAGTCTCTAGATGTGGGATTATATGACGTGGAATCCCCTTCTGATCTTGCCCAAAATCTGCGTCCGCTGGATTCCGAATTCCCCCTCGACGAATAGACTATAAACCGACAAACATATTCCGATTCATCTATTCATTTTACTCATTTCGCGCATAGCACTGGCGTTGAGCGTTTTTGGAGCCCGGTGGAAGCCCCCGTCTGAAAGTCTTCCTTTCTTCCCATATAAGACGATTTATCTCTTCCACTTCGATTCCTCCGCAGCGACGTGTGGCTACTCCCCGCGAACTCGGATTCTTCGAACCCTACCCTATCCCAAGCCCCCCAGTCACACCCGAATGCCCCCAACGCTCTGAACAGCGCGACTTTCCCACTTCTCCACGTACTCTCCCCCATTTCTCCCTTCCCCCTCTGAAAGGGAGCGTCCCTGCGCCGAGCTATATCCCTCTTCATAGAACTGACCGGAAGCACTCTTTGCATATTTTTCCCGAAAATTGCGCTTAGACCCGCCCCCCCCCCGTTTCAATCTTGTGAGCGAATTGCTCTATATCATACTGTACATACATATTATTTTTTCTTTTTTCTGGATCCAAAAAATCCCCATTGTGGTTTTACCGGCGCTCTTTCCGTTCAGTTAATGCACTCTCTCTCCTCTCTTATGTCTGGGGCCATGGACCGATGGGGTTGAAAAGGCTTGACGAGGGTTTATGAACTGTATTTTATTTTATTTTGTTCCATTTGTCTATTAGCTGTTGTAAGAATAGAGTATAAGTTAATGATACCAAGGGAAAATTCATTATAACCCTTTGCTGGGGATGAGAAGATGTAATCTGAATAATTTTTTTTTTTTTTTTTTTTTTTTTTTAATTCTCCTCCTCCCTGATATGTGTCAGTACAGCCGTGCTTTACCCAGTTGCTGGTACTTATTTATTTTCCATCTAAGAACTAAAAATCTCGACCTTGTTTAAACAAATTCGGGCTGTTGGTTTAGTGGTATAATACCCCCTTAGCATTAGCCCAAAGGCATGGGGGTGGTCCGGAGTTCGATTCTCCGACAGTCCAGAAATTTTTTTCTCCATTTTTTTTCTTTTCTTTTTTTTTTGTCTCCCCTCTTCTTTGAGGAGAGGATCCAACAGGCAAAGATGTGGATGGACTGTGTAAGGTCTGGTTTTTTTTATCAAGCCTGATGCAATCTCGATTCTCGCCTGAGATGCGTAGTATATTTATTTACTTGATTAATTGTCATTCATGCTTTTGTTCAATGGTGAGTCTTGGGAGCCGAAACGGAGAAATCCATAACTATGTAAGCCAGACAGACAAGTGCGTTCTCAATGGATCCTGTCCGACTGGATCGTTTGGGACACTCTGTTTGGGATCCGCCTCGCCCAAGCCGGCTTCTTGAATGGGGAGTATAAAGAAAATATGACAGACGCTTTATATGCACACTGTGGGCTCCCAAAGATCCCAGAAACCATTCCATGCTCAGTGGTAAATTCATGCTTTCTAACAAAAATAAAATAAAAAAAAGGGACAAAGAAAAAGCAGTGATCATGTTTTATCATCGAAATATCGTCTCATTAAACCGTTTCTGATATTCAGCATCCACCCGATTCATCGTCGTCTCATCGGGAAGCACCTCAAACGTATTCAGATTCATACTCGCAATATCATTTCGGTCCAGCGGCCCGCCATTCTTGTCCCGCAAATGCTTCAGCATCGCCAGCGCATCCTGCATATCGTGACTTGTCTTGCGGCCCCGATCGGCGTGGTGGATGCGTCGCAGTTTGCGCTCTAGCGCCCATTCCATCGGCGCGGCCATGATGCACAGGTTGGTGCCCTGCCACAGGATGATGTTTTGCTCTTCGGCGCGGCGGAAGAGGTATTCCCTGGATCGGCGGGTGACGAAGAGCGCCATGTCTTCGTTGATCCAGTTCTTGTTCAGGTGCAGGAGGTGTGCGACTTTCTCCATGGCGGTGCGGAGTGGTTGTTTGATGTCTTCGTCCTGGGCCCATTCTGGGTCGAGCAAGTAGTCGATGTCGTCGGTGCTTTCTCGACTTTTGAGGTAGGAGACTGCCACGAAGCCTCCGGCTGTGATCAGTTTGATGGGGGCGAAGGCCGAGAGAATTGGGTCTTTTCCCATCTCCATGTCGAGCTTTTCCAGGCCTGTATGGGAACATGTTGAGTGATTCTCGTTACTCTTGCGTCTTTATGTCGAAGGAACCAGGAACGTTTTGAAGAGATGGTAGAGACAAGGCAAGTCACGAACCTTGGTGGAACTCGTCCGCATTCAACAATTTTCTCCCAGTGGCATCGCCGTCCGCCATCTTCTGCCACACGCTCAGCAAATCTGCGGCCGAAGTCTCCTGATAGACGACGCTCTACCCAGATGGGAATATCGTATTTGACCTAATTGGCCCTGAACTCAGAATTGTGTGCAAAGGGATCAACACACACGAAACGAACAGCAACCACTCCATATTCCATTGAGCAAAATGGAAACGATCAAGCAAATATTTGCAAAACGGAAGAAACTTCAAGCATCCAACTTGCAATCAAAACGTACACTTCAATCGCAAGATCGATCTCGCCGATTCTCCTTTTCAAATTCAGGGGTGATTTTCTTTTCTTTCCTTTCTTTTTTGCTTTTTTTTTTTAATAAGAACCGTTGCTCTGATACAACTTGTATTCCTTTTCTTTCTCTTTTCTTTCAGGTTTCCGTCGTGGAGCAATTCTGATAGTAGTGGCGTGTAAAGGATGAGACGCCCAGGCACGCAGGGTTTAAGTAAGCCAGAGAGAAAGAGGAAAACGACCGGCATCTGGGAAATAAGAAACAACAATAAGTAATACTAGAAAGGACTCGTGTTGGTAGATATGTATGTATGTATGTATGTATGTATGTATGTATGTATGCACGCAGGTTTTGATATACGGGGATGCGGTATGGATGATGGGGGGGACGGGGAAGGGAAGGGTGGCAGCCATACAGGTATGTATGTAGGTACTCCGCAGTTTGATATTAAAATCTCGGATGGGGCGCGTGTTTGAGAATTTTTTTCTCTTTTCTTGTTTCTTCTTATCCCTCACTCTATTCTTCTTCTTTTCTTTTTTTTTTTTCTCTCATCTTCATCCCCACTCCTGAAGTAAGAATCCTTCAGGTCCAACTCTGGCATCATGCGGGGTGATGGATCTGACAATGATTAGGCAGAAAAGAGAGATGATTCAACCGTCAACTAGTTAGTTAAAAGCAGAGAAACTCTGACTTGCCAATTGCCAATTGTAGTCTGACCATCTGGCATCAAGGAAGAGAGACGAAAAAGCAAGCAACTCATCAATCATGGTGGGTTCGTGGTGGTGGTGGTGGTGGTGGTGCATGAACCCGCAGCGATCGGATCGAATCCGCTAAAGTTGCTGCAAGTCATCCCATGTTTTGCTGATCCCCTCGTGCGGCATGGCGTCATCTGATGTCATCTCCAACCACGCCTAATCGATCACCATCACCATCATTGCTATTAATTAATGGTCGAGATGGAAGATAGAACAGTTGACGCATTCGCTTGGTATGAGCAGAATACTGGCTAAAAACTATGTATGTACTCAACAATTGAAAGCCGTTCCAGTCTTCTTCAGCATCTTATCAGGGAACCCAAAGTTCACCCCAAACGGCGGGTAGACATATCGCTTGAATCCCCTTTTACTTACTACGACCTCCTTTATGAACTTTGCGATCGTCGCCATATCCTCTTCGTCCAGGTGGATCAAGTGGTGATTTGCCTCGATGCGCGATGGTGTCACAGACTTCGCAACCACACAAGACCCGCGTGCAGCTTTTTTGAAACAACGTTAGCGAGTTTTTATCCGCAGAAATAGCACCTAGATGTGACCGTCTGAAAAAGCCATACCATGCCAGCTCAGCAACACCGTCGACGCCGCAACGCCCTTTCTCTTCGCAACCTCCACCACCGCCTCATTCATCATCAACGGGCCGCCCGTACTCCCTAGCGGACTGAACGCCGTCACCAGGATGCCCTTCTCCCTACAGAAATCCACAATCTCCTGCTGCGGCAACAGTGGATGGTTCTCAATCTGATTCACGGCCGGTACGACAGTGACACGCGGGAGCAGTTCCTGTAGATACTTAAGACTGTAGTTGGAGACGCCAATTGCCTTTGTCTTGCCGGTGGCGAGGAGCTTTTCCATGTCTTTGTAGGTATCAACATGGGAACGGAACCAGTCGATGTCGCGCGATCCGTCTGGGAGAGTGGGGAACAGTGGGTGGTTTCCTAGTAATAAATTAACGCATGTAAGGGGTCCAAAATGGGGGAAAATCGAAAACGTATTTGATCCACCCCCAATATCAGAACGAGTCGAGTTTCTCCTTTTTTTTTCCTTTCTTTTTTTCTCACCTACCGCTTGGATTCATCGCCACCGGCCAATGCATCAAATACAAATCCACATAGTCCAACCCCAAATTCTCCAGACTCGCCTCCAGCCCTTCCTTCACCCGTCGGTGGTACGTATTCCACAGCTTCGTCGTGACAAGCACATCCTCGCGCCGGACCAGTCCTTCGTCAATGGCCTGCGCAAGTCCCCTGCCCACCTCTTCTTCGTTCTGGTAGCAAAGCGCCGCGTCGATGTGTCTGTAGCCGACTTTGAGCGCATGGTAGACGGCAGCCTGGACTTGGCCGGGAGAGGACTGCCATGTTCCTGTACCAGAGGGTTGCGTTTTTTCTTTTCGTCAGCTGGGTCTCGATAGGGCTGCTAAATCATGTTTCTTTTCTTGCTTCTCTCGAGAATGCGAGAAGGTAGTGATGGAGATTCACTCACCGAGACCGAGTGCGGGGATCTCTGCGCCCGTGTTCAGTCTGAATCGGATATCCGTGGGGGTTGGCATGGTGTATTTTCTTTTTTGTTTTTTTGCAAGTATCAAGTAGATCAGTTAGAAAGATCTGCTGGAATAGCTAACTAACTTAGCTATGTAGTTAGCTGTTCAGAAGAGGACATAAATGTCTGTCTTGGAAATTTTTCCTTCCATTGTTTTTCATTCTTTGTCCCATCGTTCGCTCTCTTTCGTATCACCACTCAAGTTCCACAGCGAAGGCATCGAATAGCATAGCATCATATTCCTGTTCACACCTTGCTTACTGTCGGAGAATCGAGCTTGGCGGGGGGATGGGTTCATGATCCCAGAGATCTGGATGCTATCTTCCATTGCTGCCCTGCCTGGATCGAATCACCAACCTGGAGGAACCAATGAATGGATCATCGGAGTCAACTAACGCAGTCGACATTGAAATTCAATAACTAATAGTTACTCCGTAGTTACCTACATACATAGTTAACTAATTAATACTAACTGATCTAAAAAAATTAAGATATTATATTTCCGCCTATATTATTTTAAATTTCAGGTAAGATATAGTTATAGAACCCGGACGAGTGAAGCAGCAGATGACAGAATACTTGTGATACAACCCGGTAAAAAAGGGATGGTATGTGGATAGCACTAGGGAAATTGTATAAGAGTTTTAGGGACAAGTTATGAATCTTTGAAGAGCGCCTATTGTGTTGTAAATTTGCTAGGGAAGACCCGTCTGAGCAAGTGTCTAGAGAAACAGGTTCTATTGTAGATCCCCTGTGCAGATTGGAATAATGGCTGTCCGAATTTACGCTGAAGTGGTCCCTAGCCGCAGTATATATCGATAAGAGCGTTGAAATCTGGATCTTGGAGGAGTTGACTCGCAGTTAGGCGGCGCTCGGGAACGAGGGAGAAACCTCTGGTCAAAATGGACATCAGGAGTTTCCTCTCGGCTGAATCTATTTTGGGTCGTCGATATCTAATCCGGTCTTCGAGGCTTGCAGTAATGGCAGTATTCGGATCATACCACTGATCGCTGCTATACTGGGGCCAGAGATATTTTCCCTTTAGATACTTCGGTAACGGTCCCATATAGGTAACAACATCCTTCAGGCGAGGAAAGAGATTAAAGCCAAAATAAAGATATGAAAAGACACATATATAGCTCCACATATCACAAGAAAAGTGAGGAATGGCACCATGAAGC